TTTGAGCTGTGGTGCTGGAGAAGAGTATTGAGGGTACCATGGACTGCTAGGAAAACAAACAGATTCATCCTGGAAAGGGTCAAACCAAGTGGCTCCTTGGAGGCAAGGATTCTGAGGCTCCGTCTAATATACTTTGCACATGTTGTAAGGAGGGACCAGTCATTGGAGAGGGACATCATGCTTGTAGGGTGGAGGGACAGTGCAGAAGAGGAAGGCCCTCTATGAGGTGGATTGATTCAGTGACTGGGGTAATCAGAATGGGAATGTCAGAGACAGTGCGATTGGCACAGGACAGAGCAGAGTTTAGGGCTGTTGTACATAGGGTTGCTATGAGTTGCAAGTGACTCGACGGCATGTAACAACAACAACCTAAAACAAACATTCATGGAGCCTCTACTGTGATCCAAGCACTATGATATCCATCTAGTGATGGAAGCAGACACCAAATAGATAAAAAATAGCATGTAATTATAAAGTTTGAAAATAGTAAGAAGAGGATGTGTGGGTTTCAGGAAAATATTTCAAAGAGGGGCTAGGGCTATCAAAGAAATAATGATTTCAAAAAGAAGCAGTTTTGCCCTAAGATCTGAAAGGCTTAAGAGTTGGCTAGGAGATGTGTGCTTGTGTCAACGTTATTGGACTCCAAGCAGAGAGGACAGCACTCAGACATCTCCTGATTGGAGTGAGCCATGGAGTATGCAGAGCACAGAAGTGCCAGTGGTGCCTGGAACCTGTGGGGAAGAGGCATGCAGTCTGAGAGAGAGATCAAGCAGGGCCTTGGAAGCCATGTTAGACATTCTGTTTATTCTCAGAGCCCTGAATAATAATTGAAAACATCCTTAACCTCAGGATTGACATTTGAATTTGCATTTATAAAAAGATCATTTGGCTTCAGTGTAAAAGAGAGGAAAGAAGCAAGAATGGACAAGAGAAGCCCAGGTGGGAGACTGAACGGAGACTCAACTTCATTCAGACTGGAGCACTAGGAAAGGAGAGGTGAGAAATGGTCAATTCAAGAAATCATTGGAAAGTGAGGCCGATGACTTTGTGATTGTTTCTGTGTATGGATGATAGGGCAGAGGTAGGCAGTGACAGCAGAGCCTGGGTAGGAAAACTTCGATCCTGTGAGCGGACTGGAGTTGGATGGTTTGCTTAGTTCCTGCTGTTACCGTCTAGAGGTCGGAGCCAACACAAGTGAGAATTCTGTTTTGGTGTTGTCAAGAACAGAGCAAGGGAACACTGCAAGGTTCCAAATCAGGAAAGGAAAGCATCAGGGATGCATCCCATTTCCATACGTTTTCAATCTATAGGTGGAACAGATCGTTCGGGAGGCTGGGCTTTATGAGGAGGAAATGTGGCATCAGAATTGGAGACTCCTTAACAACCTGCCTTTTGCAGATGATACAATCTTGCCCCACAAAACTGAGGAAGACCTGAAACCTTTAGTGTAGAAGATCAAGGACTGCAGTCTGCAATATGAATTGTGGCTCAACACCAAGCAAATAAAGATTCTCACCACCAGATCAATTGGTGGCATCATGATAGATGGAGAAAAGATTGAGGCTGCTAATGGTTTCCGCTTGCTCAGATCCACAATCAACATTTTTGGCACCAGCAGTAAGGAAATAAAAAGACAAGTTGCATTGGGAAAGTCTGCCATTAAAGACCTCTCCAGAATGCTAAAGAGTAATGATAACAGTCTAGAGACTAAGGTGTACCTGATCCAGACCATGGTCTTCTCAATTGCTTGCTATGCATCTGAGAGCTGACCTAAAGATGACAAAAGAATTGATGCCTTTAAACTGTGGTGCTGAAGAAGAGTATTGAACCATGGACTGCTGAGAGAACAAACAGGTCTGTTCTGGAGAGGAAAGAAGTAGGTTAATCCTTGGAAGCAAGGATTTTGAAATTCTGTTTTCACGTACTTTGGGCATATGGCCAGGAGGGACCAGTCGTTGAAGAAGGACATCATGCTTGGAAGGGTAGAGGGTCAGGGCAGGAGAGAAAGACCCTGGATGGATGAACTGACACAATGACTGTGGCAATGGGGGCAGGCGTGTCAGAGATGGTGAGATTGGCTCAGGATAGAGCAGGGTACAGAGCTATTGTTCATAGGGTTGCTTTGAGTCACTGTTAACTTGATATTATATAACACCACCAACAACAAGATCAGTTTTGAACTCTGTCTCTTTCTTTTACCAACTAGGGACCCAGACAGATAACTTAATAGATTCAAGCACTGGTGGCCCAGTGTAAGGAATTGTGCTGCCAAGCCAAAGGCATGCAGTTTGCATCCAGCAGCTGTTCTGTGGGAGGAAGAAAGCCATGTCCTCCCATGCAACTTAGACTCTGAAAACTCACTGGAGAATCAACTCTGAGTCAGTTCCGACTCAATGACAGAAACAATCTGCAAAATGGGATCAAATGGTACCTCTGCCTGATAGCAGTTTTTGGAGGCTATAATACATGTAAATGCCTTTTACATTTTCAGTATCTATTAAAGAATTCAATATCGTGCCCCTACTAGCTTCATGTTCTCTAATCTCTGTGTTAGAGCTGGATTTAGATCTGATGAAAATACATTTGTGAATCTTGGACATAAAATGATAAGCTTCATATCATTTTTTGAAGTAATATAATAAACAATGGTGCCCTTATCTTACTAATTTCTCATTTCATGAATGAATTTCCTGTTCATGAACAAATTATTTTTGTTTGTAGCATATATTGCAATTTAAACTTGGGGGAAAAAAGTGTCTGATTAAGTTATTTAACATTTTACAGGACTGTGAGATCTATGAAGGCAGATATCAGATGCAAAACTGACAGTCTGAAAGTGTAGTCCAGTACTGGCCACATGGAAAACCATCAGCAGGAATGAGTGACTGTGGTTTTGTTCCTTTGTGCCCCACACCACACAATGCAGAGCTTGAGTTCAATCTACACTCAACAGTTCACTGGATGAATGGGACTGCAACACAGAGTCTCACATGAAGTGAGAACCAGTCTTGTAAACTAGAGATAATTCAGTTAGGCCACAGGTGTAGACCTGGAGAAAGAAGGGATTGGTCCATAGGATGAGGTGCTGCTGAGGGTCGAGAAAGGCCTTCCATGAAAAAAAGTGAATAATTGGCTTCAGTGAGGGAGCACTTTCTGGTGACCTCAGAGAGCAGGCACTCAGTTAATAGCAGGAGTTACAGCTTAAGGACCTGAGAGGGGAGGGATTAGGGGAAGGAGAGAAGGAGGGGTGGAGCTTCCATGACAGATGGTTCCTTCAGGCTGTTTGTTAGTGATGTGCAAGAGGAAAAACTGACCTGGAAAGCAAGAGAGATTGCTTTTTAAATGTAGGCACTTGAGGTGTGTTGAAAGCCCAAGAGAAAGAAGAGAGGGAGGAAATAAAGCTTCAGAAGGGGCCTGGGAGAAGTGCTTGTGGGAGCTGAAGGGAGTGGGCACTTAGAGTATCCCCAAGGTGAGTGTGGTCTTTACTGGTATGGTACCAGGTCTAGGCCAGACTCACACTCTGAGCCAGCTTAAGGGACACTGAAGATGGGGCAAATATTTTACATGCATCATTTCATTTCCTTCCAGCTACCTCAGGAAAAAAAAAAGGTTTTATTAGCATCTTCCTTCTGCAGAAGAGGAAACTGAATCGCGGAGAGGTTAAAGAGCTTGCTTGAGTCTCAATTGGTGAGGGGCAGGACTGAGTTTGTGTCAAGTGTCTTCCAAAGGACACACAGAATGGGATTCTTGCAAACTCAGGTGAGTTTCAAGGTGGGCAACTGAGACCCCAGGCTTCCCAGTGTGCCCTGAGGCTCACTCATCTTGGCACATCTGTCACATAGGACTAAGAGAATACTAACTAAAAATCAAAGATAAAGCAGACTTTTCTTTGAACTTTGCAAAACCTCCTTTCCAGGGCTGTAAGCTGACTGCCATTGACCATTGTGCCTTATTAGGTTCTAGAGTCTTCTATTTAGAAAAAAAATAATAATAGTGCACATGCGCACACACACAGCCTACCGAAGGCCCAGTGGCACAATGAATGGATTACACATTGGGTTGCTAACAGGTCTGAATCCACTAGACACTCTGGGAGAGAAAAATGAGCCCATCTGCTGCTATAAAGATTGACAGCCTTGGAAACCCTATGTGACAACTGTCTTCTGTCCTACAGGGTGACCACTGAGTTGATGTGATAGCCTCAAAACCCACTGTCTTCAAGACAATTCTGAGACATGGTAACCCTCCATCAGGTCTGTAGATCTCACCAGGGAGCAGATTGCCTTCATCTGGTGGATTCCAACCACTGACAGCTAGCAGCTAGCAGCCCAACACTTACTCCTCTGTGCCTCCATGGATATACTGACACACAGATAATGATATTTATATGACAGTGTTGGTATACAAACGAACATTAAATGTTATATATTTAACTATTTCCTTTGCCCCAAACTTTTCTCCCCCGCCTCTTCTGATTTTAAAAGCAAATACTCTCCTGGATCCATATATCATTGTGGGCTCCAGGTACTTGGCGGTAAACTCTTCTCTCTTCCCACTCTCTAGTCTTACCTGTTCCCTCAGATGGTAGGAAGAGTCACAGAAGAAAGATCGTTGTGATATCCAGCCCAGCCTTACCTGTTTTATCATAAGCCCCAGTGTGCTCACCCACAAAAATGGACAAGCTCAGATTATGTTTACTGCAAGAGATGAAAATGTGGAGAAGGTGGACACTGCTTTAAGGACACTGCCCAGCATATGGCTAGAAACCAAGTGGATATGGAAGAGAAGTTCGAGGCCCCTTCTCCAGTGTTCAGACTGTGCCGCCAGCTTAGCCAGTTTTGCATAGCTGACTCTTTGGTGGTGGGACAGAACTCGCTATGTCCCCATGCCCTAGGATTTCTTAGCCAATCCCTGGGAATCCAGCCTCGCAAAATAAACACTGCCCGCTAATAGCCAGCTCGAAAACAAAACAGCGCTGCGCTCCGGGGATCTGGGCAAAACCAGCCCTCCCCTCCCCTCCTCCTCCTCCTTCTTCGCCGCCGCCCTCCCTTCCTCGCGCTGCTCGGATCGCTCGCTCAGCTCAGCGCAGCGCAGCTCGGCAGCAGCCTAGCCAAGGCGGCACAGTCTCAGTCCCCAGTGCCGGCTCCGGGCTCCTGCTCTCCGCCGGAGCTGCTCCGGGTCTCGCCTCCGCAGGGACCCCTTCGGGCAGCAGTCGCGTGGCAAGGGCCAGCGGCAGTGGAACAAAGTTGGGGGCCCGCGAGGATGAGGCTGTCCCTGGAGCCACTGAGGTTGAGCTGGAGTCCAGCGCTGCTGGCCCTGGCGCTGCCCCTGGCCGTGGCGCTGGCCTTCTCCGACGAGACCCTGGACAAAGTGCCCAAGTCAGAGGGCTACTGCAGCCGCATTCTGCGCGCCCAGGGCACGCGGCGCGAGGGCTACACCGAGTTCAGCCTCCGCGTGGAGGGCGACCCCGACTTCTACAAGCCAGGAACCAGCTACCGAGGTAAGTGGCCGGGCATAGCACTGGGGTCTCGGGACTTGGCCCCCAGAGGAGGGCGCTGATCGAGCGGTACAGGAGGAAGGAGGCGCACGTTCCTGGGGCACATTGTAAGGGCGCAGCGGGGCAAAGACCCCTTGTCCTGGCTGACCTCAGCTCTTTTCACCTGAAGCTTAACGCAAACCCCAAGTTATTGCGGGGGGCCTTAGCCAGCGGGGGCAACGCTGGTCTCCAGCTCACAGTGCCCCAGCGTGGGCTTAACAGGAGCGATGCGTCTCGCCCGCCTGACTGGGAGGCGACCCGACTTCTGTCCCATTGGCTCTAGGAGGGTGGCAGACCTGCCTCACAATGGTCCAGTTCCTGGAGTGTGGGGGACCCGCGCTCCTTACCAGTTGGGTCTCAGGCAGGGACTCTGGCATTTTCTAAGCGTTTTCCTAAAGGAGAGGATACTGTCTTCATGAAGTCCAGCTCTGCAGCGGGATGGTCACTCTGGTTTCCTGGGACAGGTCCCTTCAGGGAAAGAGCCTGGACTTCTCCAGAATCGTTCTCTGGTCTTGGGTTGGTGGGGGATCGGGGTGGTGTTGGTGCGGTGGTGGGGGTGGGTGGGTAAGCAGGAAGAAGCACCTGAAGCTCTTCCCTGAAGGGTCCCTTGAAAGCACTGTAGATTATTCTCCTGTGGTAGCAGGTGAAGAGGACCCTGGATTTACAAGACTGGCTTTCAATGGGGACTGAAACCCTAGAGAACTCTTGACAGGCTCTGAGTGGACAGGGAAACCTGACGTTGAGAGGAAAGGAAGCATGAATATTTGCAAGCCTGCTCCCTGGAGGCCTGGAGACCTTGGCTCTCACAGTCTGGAGACTCAGAATTGTAACTAAGGTGCTCCGCTGAGCACAGGGTTTAGGAGTGCAGAGAGGGAGTGTCAGTGCAAGTGAGTTCCTCATAGGCAGAACAGGGGAGTAATGTGACCCTCATGAACTTGAAGACTCCTCACCCCAAGGCCCACTGTCTTTCTCTTCAGCCTATCATCTTCCCAGGCATCTTTCTTGAGTGCAACACCCCGCTGCTTTCTAGGAGGGAGCACAGGAGAGATACTGTGGCAGCCTGTCACCTGGGGAGTGACAGGGCTCTTGGACCATGGCTTTCCTAAGTCACTTCCTAAGTGAGCTCTGGATCCAAGCAAGGATCCTGCATCTTTGGGGGTAACTAGAGCAAAGGGGCTCACAACATTCCATCTCTGTTTCCCTGGGCCCTGTAGAAAGTGGGGGAGAAAGGCATGGAAGCAAACAAGTTTAGGGCAGTGTGCTCAGTAGCCCAGAGTGACCCTGTTCAGGAAGCTTCTTCTGTCTTCCTGGGTTTATGTCTCCAACTTCTTCCAGTTGAAGCTATTCAGAGGCGGCATCCAGGTACTCCTGACCTAATGGGGCGCCCAGCACCCCGGAAAGTGCCCTGAAGCACTGGTACTCCAGGACATGCTGAACAGACAACTCTGCTTGGAGCATGAGGAGGCAAGGGGAAGGTTGTCTAGAGCTCAGGTTTGCCGAGGCCACTCTGTAGAGTCTTCCTCTAGCCTCTGAGGAAGCAAGCATAACTTCACTGAGTTGTCCTCTCCAGCATTCCTCGAAACAGGGACTGGATTAGCTTAGGAAATTATCTGAGTTCCACACACGCAGCCTGCAAAGAAGTGACTCTGAAGTCTAGGGATCTTGAAGTCAGTGGCTGTGCGATGACTTGTCCAAGTCATTTAATCTCTCAGAACCTCTTTCCAGCTGTAAAATTACTATCTCCAGCCTTTCTGGGTGGGTCTAAAAAAGGACATACATTTGAAGGGGTGCCAGGGTCAGAGTTCCAACAATTCCCCAAATGCAAGTACTTGCGAGAGGTAAGGCTTAATAATGGAGAACTCTGACTGTAGAGGTTGGTTTGTTTTGCTGTTTGTATTTGAAGTGTGTCTGTTTAAAAGTAACTTTCCTTAGCATTCACCAGTCCAATCTACTAGCTGTCCTGAATTAATGGAATGAATGCTTTTTCCATATTAGGAGTCTGGTTAAGGCAGTTTCTAACATAAACCTAGGAAGATTTTTGGTGAATTAGGCCAGCCTGGAGCCCAGGTCATGTTCTACTACGCACTTCCTCTTAGAATCATCCTCTGTGTTTGAAAAAGCAATGGTGAACTATGGCTCCAGGGCTGAGGGGTGGGAAGTAGAAGGCTGTGGCTCTTTTGCAGGCCAGGAAGGTTCCCTGAGCCTTTGTGGCCAGTAGGGGGTGGGGGAGCTCTCACTGGAGAAGGAGTCAGTGGGCCTTCATCACTATCTCAATGGTGGCTTTTCTTGGACTGTATTGCCCCCACTCAAACCATCAGTCAGAAAATCATCTTTTTCTGCTTCCTCAAGGCTAAAAGATCACATAGAAAGCTATTGCAGGAATCATGTTTAGGGCTTCTTTGTAAAGAGTACAGCTAGCAAACCTGATTCCGCCACTCAAAATTAAGAAGAAAGGGCGCTGGCCTAGTTTGTGCTTTGTTCTGTTGGCTTTCTGTTATACTTTCTTGGAATAATTATGTTAAAAGTAAATCTAATGCTTTCTGCTTGGTTTATTGACTCTGGGCTGCTGAAGATAAAACTCCCCAGTGTTCTATTTGCCTTTTTATTTTTTCCTGAATTAGGATCCCACATGAGCTTGTTCTCCTGTCTTAAATCTTTCACTGATGCTGAAATTGTCCTCATTCTTCCAGCTCACCATTTAGGTATTCTAGAGTGGAATAATCCATCCAGTCAATTCTGAATGATCACTGTTTAAGTGAGAATACTGAAACACAGAGGTTTTTGTTTATACCCTAGATCCAATATTAGGAAAAAAAGCCCCCCAAAACCCCTGGCCTTGGAATGTATTCCAACGCATAGCAACCCTATTGGGCAGGGTAGAATTGTTGCATAGGATTACTAAGACTACCACAGTTTTGCAGTGGAGTGTCTGGTGAATTTGAACTGCCACCCTTTTGGTTAGTAGCTCAACAGTTTAAACACATCACCACCACCACCACCAGAGTTCCGTGTGTCCCATAACTCCAAAATGAACTCATTGCTCTCCAGTCAGAAACCATTTATAGCTTACCTTCCCACAGGTTTTCAGTTGTAAATCACCATCTTTCTCACTCCGAGCCACTGGTGGATTTGAATTGCCAGAGAGGCACCACAGTTGAGTTAGCAGTGCAACTCCCTATAGATTACGCCATTCAAGTTTATGCCCAATAGACATTATTATTCCATCTTTTCAAAATTGTTAATGCTGTATGGACTTTCTCTTCTCTCCCATCATTTCTCTCTTCTTTCCCTCCCTCCTCAACCACTCTCCCTTGCAGTAATTGTGCTTTAGAAAGCTCTGAAAGGCCTGCTCTGTTTCTGCCCATAGCCTTCTTTGAAAGGAGATTACAGTGATTAAAAAATAACAAGTTGAGGATCCTCAAGGGGCTTCCCTTATAGGAGGACAATTTGCAGGACCAGCCTTTCCCAGATCACAATTTCAAGCCAAATAGAAGAAAATCAGTTGAAATACTCAAGGCTTGATTGAAAATAAAAGAGGCTCTTTTGTCTGGCCAAAGGTCTGTTTTATTAGGGAAATAAAGTCAGACCTTGGCTAATGAGAGTGGCTTTTCCTAGCTGTTCTTTAAAGGGAAATTTCAAGGAACTTGATGGGAAAAGACCTTTTAGTTGAGATTTCAAAAGCTGGTCCAGTTTCTGGCATAATTGGGAATTCATTTTAAATTGAGAGTTTTGGAGACCTCCAAAGCAGCTTTGTTTGCGGCTCTTTGTTTGTCTCACTCTGGGACACACACTGCCCACACGAGTACTCATACTCGGCTCAGCCGGGTGCAAAGGGCACAGGCTTTGGCCATGTTGGGTAAGTTTCAATCCTTACCGTGTCACATACACACTGTGTGACCTCAGGCGTGCCATTTCTCTCTGAGCCATCATTTCTTCTTCTGTAAAATGAATCACAGTGTACTTTATTTATTTGCATCACTGCTGTGAGAAATAGAAACAACCTATATCAAAATAAATGGCAGCCTCATGTAGATGATTATATATGGATAAAAAAATAAGTGAGAATTATTTCGGATACTTTAAAGAAAAATATTTAGCAGGAAAATACTGGATGAGACAGTGTGTTGTTTCTTGCTGATCTCATTGATTCTTTACAGCACTTTGAGGCAGATAATTATTGTTCTTATTTTGCAGGTGAAGAGACTGAGGCTCAGAGAGCTTTAGAAACATGTCCATGGTCATGAAGCTAATAATCATAAAAGGGCACGGTCTCGGGTCTGTCTGACTCTGAAATCAGTGCACTCAACCAGTCTTCTAACCAGTTAACTGACTCGCTAAAATGAGCTGGGACTAGAATGAGTTTGCTCATCTAACCTCAGCCTTTTGAGTGGTAGCTCTCAAATGGAAAGCAAGCAATAACAACAAATCAAGATAATAACTGGAATCTTTCAGGACACAAAGTAATAACATGATAAATCCTTATTTACTCTTGCTTCCTTTTTTATAGACTTCAGTATTGCTTTTCTCCATAAGTCAGTGAGTTAATTTACAAACACACAGAAAACTAGTCAGTCTTCAGTCAGTTGCTTTTGTTGGTAGGGAAACGATTGGAAAAAGAAATTCATTTTACTTGTTTTTTTAATGATTATAAAAAATTACTAAGGAACACATGAACTCTAACCCAGTGTAGGTGATTACTATATGGCTGAATTAATAGAATTATTTTGGATTATTTAGAAAGTACATCAAAGAGTAAGTGATGTACTAGGGGAAATTACAACGTCTGCTTCAATTTATTCACCAGATATGCAGTGAATATCATCTATAAAAATTCCTTGCCTGGATCCATTATTAAGCTGATCCTAAGTTATAGTCACAAATAAAACAAAAAAAAATTAAATAAAACATGACACATGTCAGTAAAGTTGTTCTTTATTAAAAATAAAGAGATCATAATAATTATT